TACCAATCTTACCACTGACCAAGCCATTATTCTAATAACTAGACACTTAGTTGGGGATTTTGTTTTGCTTTCCACTGCGCCACGGGACTTTTTTGCAAAGTTGATTTTGATGGTAGTTGTCTATGTTTGACCAAATAAGTAATTCTAAACAGCTGACATCAAACAGGCGTTTACTGAGCTGCATGCAAGCCCCTTAGGCTTTCTTGTAGCCAGAAACAAAATATGATTAATGAGGTCATTCCTCACATAATTCTGCAATGCAGAATGTTAAGAATCATAAGATGTTTTCTTGTACATTTCTCAGATTGAAAGAAAAATCTAATACACAAAACAGCCAATACACTGAGCAACCAGCCAAAACCTCAGCCTCACCGTTCTGGTTCTTTGCTACTGCTAATAGAAGGAGCAGGAAGTGGGTCAGTGGTCAAAAATGAACCAGCACACCTGAAGAACATTTTTGACTTTACGTCCTTTTTAAGTGCAATCGTTTTATGTTTCCTGCAGGGTAATTAAGGTCCTCAGCAGAACTAATACAGTGAAGTTATTCACCAAGATTAGAAATAAAACTATCCTGATTTTATATACTCCCCGTCATGAAGTACATGTTTGTATGAAAATAAAACACAGCTGATGAGTTTGTATTTTTTTATTTAAATTGTGCATTGTGAAGACAAAAAAAAAAAAGATTTTAGTCCTTTACAGATGAAATTACAGTGCATGAAACTTTAGAGTACATGGTAGCTTCTTTGACAAGTTTACAGTACACATTCCTAGCATTACTGGACTTTGGCAGTAGATGGAGCTATTAAGTTGTCTCCATTCACTCTGATGAACTTTAAAAAGAAAAGAGCCACTGGCAAAGTTGTATTGCCTATCTTCGATGCGGTGACAACATTGTGTTCTCTAAATACCATTAATGTTGCTTTATATGTGTTCAAGATATTTGTCAATCAGAAAATGTAGCCATCCCTTTCTGGTCATTTTACATATTTTTGGATGTCACTTTAAGTAACTGTTTGGGACTTATGTCCTGCGCAAAATGGCAACTATGGCATGGTTAGTACATTTGTTTGAATATCTTGAAACACTGTGTAATTTTTTTTTTTTTTTTACACGATGGTCCATGACATATAAATTACAGTGTTTAACGTGTGTCCATCACATCAAAGTGACTGGAGACAATGGGTCTTACATTATGTCCTTTGTTAAATGAATGATATTCATTTTTTTCATCTCCTGGATATTCAGTGCTATAAAGGTGGAGACAGCTGGCTAAATCTGTAAAGGTAGGACTCTTCCTGGCTTTGTTGGTAGTCAGGTGATAGGTGATTATCTGCTATGGAATTTAAGGTGGCCACACTGATTTTGGATGGAAACTCCAAAACTTGCATTGGCTGGCTAGTGTGGGGGTCATGTAAAGATGTCATATCCCAGCACAGATCATCAAGTGGGTTTTTGTAGTTAAAATGTTGGTTTTTTTCAAAGAGAGAATTAATTCCTGCTTGTTGGTCATCATCACTGTGTAAATCAAAATCCATAGCAGAAGCAATCAGATCAGGTTCATTGTAGTCTTCACTGTCATTGAGGCTCCCACTTCTGTTGTCTTTACTCCAGCCCAGACCATTTAAAGTTTCCGTAAAATAGTTGTACGTCTTTCTCAGGGGCTCCGTTTCCCTAAATTCATAGTACGATGGGCAAACCTCTTGCTGAAAAGCTGCACTGGACATGTTGTCCTGGTTCTGTATTTCACCTGCAAGAGGCTAAGACAGAAATGATGTTAGAATAGGTGAGAAAGCTTTTCAAGCTACATTTAACGGTCTTGAATGTATCTAGTAAGTTAAAGAACAACTTTATGCAATAAATGAAAACAATCAGTTCTCATTTAACAATCTCATGTTTAGTTTACTAATTTGTTCTCCATCATAGGAACGAGCTTGGAGCTCTGGCTACTTTACAACCAGGGCCGGACTGGCTATCGGGCATACCGGGAACTTTCCCGGAGGGCTGGGCCGAACACAATCAGCCTAATGTTCGTCCCGGCCCGCTGTGCCCGAAACTACATGCAGCTGCTGGCCGCTGAAGGGTGGGGGGCATGGAGATGGTTCCGTTGGATGAGCTGCGGAGGGGATCGTGGCAGGCAGTGCTGAGGTCCCCGCAGCTGTGATCCCTCCTGTCAGCTCTCTCTCTCCTCCCAGCCGCTGCAGTTACAGAGCGGCTGGGAGGAGAGAGAGCTGACAGGAGGGATCACAGCTGCGGGGACATCAGCACAGACACTGCACTGCCAAGATCCTCTCTGCAGCTCATCAGGAGGAGAAAAGCCATCTGCTTTTCTGAAAGTCCGCTGGATAGTCGGGCTCCTCAGCGGCCCCCTTCCTCCGCCCACTTCAGCTGCCATAGGCTGGGAGGAAGACTGCAGGGCTACCATTGGCAGAGAAAGAGCGTGTCCTGAAGTGAGGGCACAAAGAGGCGGCTGAGATGCTGGACTGGAGCCCTCATCTGAGACCAGAACCCCCCCCCACCGCTGACCTCTGCACTGTAAGTCTGACCACTGACCTCCGCACTCTGCATCACACTACTGACTTCTGCACTGTAAGTCTGACCGCTGCCCTCTGCATAACACTGCTGACTTCTGTGCTGTAAGTCTAACTGCTGACCTCCGCAATCTGCAACATACCGCTGACCTCTACACTGTAAGTCTGACCGCTGATGTCTGCACTGTGCGTTACACCGCTGTCCTCTGCATCATACCACTGACCCTCTGCACTGTGCATTACACCGCTGTCCTCTGCATTACACTGCTGACCTCTGCACTGTGCGTTACACCGCTGTCTTCTGCACTCTGCATCACACCGCTAACCTCTGCACTGTAAGTCTGACTGCTGCACTCTGCATCACACCGCTGACATCTACACTGTATGTCTGACCGCTGACCTCTGCATCACACCGATGACCTCTGCACTCTGTATCACACCGCTGACTTCTGCACTGTGTGTTACACCGCTGTCCTCTGCACTGTGCATCACTGCTGACCTCTGCACTCTGCATCACACCACTGACCTCTGCACTGTGCGTTACACCGCTGCACTCTGCTGACCTCTGCACTGTAAGTCACACCGTTGACCCCTGTACTCTGCATAACAGCGCTGACCTCTGCACTGTGGTTTATAACTGACTTCTGCACTTTGCGTTAAAACTGGCCTCTGGACCTCAGCAATTAAATTTTTCAAATTGATTCAGTTTCGTTAGGTCCCGCGCAGCAACCTTCTGGGGAACCATACGGCGCCTTCTTACATGACTTCCACCAGCTGCACATCTTCCCCTCCTGAGACCCTTTGCCCAAGACTTCACGCTGGTACCTCGGAACAGAGCGGCAGCACAGAGTATGTACCAAATTCATATACTATTATTCTGCATTGCTGTATAATGTATTGCTCGGATTTTTAGTCTTTTATAGCTGATGGTATTCTGCATTAGAGTGTAAGCTCCTCTGTACAGAGACTGATGTGACTGGCTCAGTGTTCTCTGTACAGCACTCAGGTATAGGTCAGAGCTATATAAATGTATAAAAATAGTGTGTGACTGTGGGGGTACATTAGAGTGTAAGCTTTTTTAGTGCAGAGAACGCCAGGGGCTTGGGGGCCAGTGAGATCCGGTCCCAGTACCTCCCCCTCTTGTGAGTGCTATTAGCTGGCATAGGCAGCCAGCTGAAGACGTCAGGAGGGGCATAAAAAAATCCTTGCCCTGGCTCTGAGCAGTGGCGTAACAACCGGAGTGTTGGGGAGGGGGTGATGGTGCAGCTGCCCTGGGCACAGAGGGGGCAATTGCTCCCCCTGAGAAAATTGCCACTCCCTTCCTCCGCCACTGCATTGCATTCTGCCAGGCAGCGCAACATCCTGGTGTGTGTGAGGTGCCCACCAAGGACCCACACCTGTGCTTCACCGGCTGCTGCTGGCAGCTGGAGCAACTTTCCCTCCCAATACCTAACCGACAAGGAGAAGGTGCAGCAGCTGAGGCTGGTACTGAGGGAGGGGGGTTTCTTATTGGGGAAAAGGCTGTCATGATGGGGGCCTGGGGGGTGAAGACTGGTACAAGGGGGCCTGGGGTACCTGCTGGGGAGGGTAAAGGCTGATACAGGGGGGCTGGAAGAGGATAAAAAAATTGTAGAAATGTCACCAGCACACCAGTCCTATTAAGATAGCAAAAGCTTAATTTATGGAAGAGGATAAAGACCGGTAGGGAGGGCTGGGGGGTGGGGGGCTTGGAGATGGTAAAGACTGGTATAGGGGTGCTGGGAGAGTTTGAAAACTGGTACAGGGGCCAGAAGAAGGTGAAGACTAGTACAGGAGGGCCCACAAGATGGTGAAGACTGGTAGAAGGGGGCTCAGGGGTCCTGGGGAGGGTAAAGACTGGTACAGGGAGGATCAGGGGGGCTTGAGATGGTGAAGACTGGTACAGGGGGGCCTGGAGAGGGTGAAGAATAGTACAGGGGTGCCAGGAAAGGGTAAAGACTGGTATAGGGGTGCTCGGGGGGCCTGGAGATGGTGAGGATTGGTACAGGGGTGCCTGGAGAGGGTGAAGACTGGTAAAGGGGGGCCCTGTAGCTGGTGGTATTCTGAGTTGCTGTATAATGCATTGCTGGGATTTGTAGTCCTCTATAGCTGGTAGTATTCTGCATTCCTGTGTAATGTATTGCTGGGATATATAGTCTGTTAAAGCCGGTGCCATTCTGCATTGCTGTGTAATATATTGCTGGCATTTGTAGTCCTTTATAGCTGGTGGTGTTCTGCTGTATAATGTATTGCTGGTATTTGTAGTCTGTTATAGCCTGTGCCATTCTACATTGCTTTATAATGTATTACTGGGCTTTGCTCAGTCGGCTGCTGCTGCAGGTCGGGCTGCATGTTCTGCAGGGGGTAAATGTCACGGGGCTGGTGTGGGGCAGGCTGAGAGTGCCAGGAGGCCGGTGTGCCGCTCCTCGTACGGCCGATGAGTATGGCAGTGAGGATGCCACCGGCTTCTGCCACGGCTGTACCAATCAAAGACAACTAGCCAACTTTGCTGGCTCTGGAGGCAACGAATACTCTTTAAGTAACACAATTGTAGAAGATGGGTAATATTAATATATATTAGTGATAATACCATTACAATATATTTTTCTTTCTGCTTACTGAATACTCATTTGTACACCATGGACCCATATTTATCCTACACCTGCCTGCCTCCTATAGAGCCAATACTGTATGTGCCACCCATAGAGTCTATACTGTATATATATATTGTCCCTGTATTTAGGAAAAATTAGGCGGCCACCTAATTTCCCTAATAAGAGAGCCATCTGTGGTCCTGGCAGCCTGCATTTTATTACCCATATGCCCACTCTACATTCTGTGACCATACATCTGAGTGTCAGCATTCTCTTCTACACATAACGCTTTCAGTTTGGAGCCGTAATTACTAATCACAGCAGAATCCCCAGCCAATAGATTCTCGGCTCTGAAAGACCTGCCAAAAGCTGTCATTGCGGTGATGTGGTTCGCCTGTGTACAGAATAGGTGGTATTGTGGCGGCGTTGCTGGAACACTGTGAGTGCTATTTCAGGAGCACCTACCTGTACACTGTGCTCAGGGTGAGGTGGGCAGCTGGGAAGGTGGAGATCCGCTGAGGGTATCACAAAACTTCTCTATAGCAAGCTTCCTATATTATTGCAAGATTTGTGCGTTGGTTCTAGCAATGCTTGTGTGTCAGCTGTAGCCCTCCTGTACTTACTAGTGGTTGGCCCTGCCCCTCGATTGTGCTTCCGTTTTTGGCACTGCCCCCTGTTGTGAGGGGTGGGGCCTGGCAGTGGTCACGTGATTGAGCTGTTCAGTCTAAAATGCCTGGGCCTATTTTTTGTCCTAGTCCGGCCCTGTTTACAACACACACAGGGACCATGGGGAATAAAAGTAGCCAGCAGTGAATTCAGAGGTGATTTGAGGATCTACAGCGGAATGATACACAAATAAGATACATTTATGTTAATAGGTATGGTATTTGAATTCGTTTTTAAGTTTAACTCTTGAGTTTAGTGTCACTTTAACTCCAGGCAGATATAAAGGAAACAAATTTGATGCAGTTTTGTAATTATTGTACATTCTTAAATCTGAATTCCGGGCAAACAGCTAAACACGCAGATCAAATACATACAGACATGGACAAATGTGTTGGTACCCTTACAGCTCCTTGAAATAATGCTTCATTTTTTTTTCTGTTTTCTGTAACTGGTATCACACATGCCTTCAATCTTGTAATCAGTGATTTAGCCTATTTAATTGGAAAAAACTAGTCAATCGGCCGTGTGCACCACAATGAACTTGTACCAGACAAAGCAAAGGAGAGGGTTGTCTGTGGAGATTAGAAAGAAAATGATAGACCAGCATGTTAAAGGTAAAGGCTATAAGACCTACTCCATGCAGCTTGATGTGCCTGTAACTACAGTTGCAAATAGTGTTAAAAAAATTAAGGTCACAGCAGCTCTATCTTCACAGGCAATAACGAAGATGCTTTCGAAGAAATGAACACCATCCCTGCTGTAAAACATGGAGGAGGCTTGGTTATGTTTTGGGGCTGCTTTGCTCTGTCTGGCACAAGGTACGTTAATTCTGTGCAGGACACACAAAAAATCTCAAGAATAACAAGGAATTCTGGAGCTAAGCATACTGACCAGGGTCCAAAAAACTCTGTCTCAGTGGCAAGTCATGGGTTCTCCAACAGGATAATGACC